GGTCTTCAGAAATGGAAATCCTGGCTAGTCGAAGGGCGTCAAGGATGCAGAGTTCTTGGAGGTCCAACATCCTGGCGGAAATAACTCGGTCACACCATTCCTCCCATTCTGACCTTAATATGGGCTAGCAGCGATGAGGATGGTTCATCCTCCAACTTCCCCCATCAAGGCTACCCTCGTAAATGAGGCAGTGATCCTCTAAGCGTGGGTACAGAGCAAGGAGTTAGACAGGAGCTTCCTTGAAAATGGGTCCAAGAACAAACTCCCCTTGAGCATGATGACGAGGAATGAAGATGCACCCATTAATAGCACACCGTTCACCGGCTTTGTATTTGTCACATTCTTCGTTTATGATTCTCCTCAAAGCCACAAATGGGCTCACACACTCAACGACTGGTATTTTATAAGAAGAAGTCATTAGCGAGGGGTTGAAAGAAGAAAATGAGTGAAAGGACAAGAAGGTGCATTTCAGAACAATGGGAGTAGGAACGATTTCTTTGGACAAGCGTGTAGATAAAGCGCAAGAAAATGGGGTTTTAAAACCTTTCTGCCCAAAAATTACCCATTTAATAGAACGGGTCAAACAAACCCAAGTTTTAACCCTTGTGTGATTAAGGCTTTTGTTTTAAAGTTCCTGAAAACACAGGAAAGAAAACTATCTTCGAACCAGTATGTGGATACCTTATAAAGGAGGGAAACATATTTCAAATACTCAGCTTGGCTTCAAAAATGGTTAGTTGGCTTTGAAGCCAGTTTTCAAATACTTAGCTTAGCTTCGAAGACAAGTAGTTGGCTTCGAAGCCAGTTTTATACCTTAAGTTCAAGTATAGCTGGGATTTGTTCTCCTTGGAAGTCTTGGAGATATGTTTTTAGACTTTCCATTTGAGGAAACTTCCTTCGAAGGGGTCTTTGCAATGTTCTGTGGTTAGAATATGGTTCTTGCTTTTGGCATAACTAAGCATTATGAAGCCAGTTCTTGATCAAGCAATGTGGGAAGTTCAAAGACCAAAGGGCTTATCTATGCATAAAAGCGCTTTCTTGCACTTTGTTGCTAGGATAAGACCCTTCGAAGGTAAACGTTGTCATTCTTAAGAAAAATTACATGTTTCGAAACACTTAAACCAAACTTCGGAGCAAGATTGGTTAAGTCAAAACTGGTGTTTGTACATATTGGATTGACCATATAATTGGAAAATAAAAACCCAAAACAAACGTTGTTTCAAAAAGAAGCTCATTGCTCTGAAATCTTTAAAACCAAGATTCGAAGCAAAATTGGTTAATTTGAAGCTATTGATTACAGAGATTATGTGAGCAAAGTACGAGCATACTAATTCGATAAACCCAGTTATATTGATATAGATATTTTCATTGAGAGGGCCTATTTGGTTACAAATTCAATTTCGTAATAATAAGGGATAGAAAGAGTAACAAGTTCATTAAATTTAACCCAGTAGTGTTCTATGAACTTATATTCTTTCTTTATTCTATCTTCAATTCTATCCACATTGGGTTGTTGTAGTTGATATGCCCGTAGTTGGTAGAAAAGATGCTCAGCTTTCACCTCGAACTCCGTCTCTTTCAAGCCCTGCTCTATCTCATCCATGTCTACATCATCCCAGTATGCTGAGTCATTGTTCTTAAAGGCGTCATATTCTTCAAGAAGGTTCTCTGCTTCATACTGAGTTTGAATTTGATTGGTAGTGATTTCGTCCAGTGAGTTATTGGTGGCCAAAGAGTTTTATGCCAATTGAGTAGGAGAGGGAGCTGGTCCAAAAAGGTATGGAGTTATGTTTGGGCTATGGGGTTAAGAGCATGACCTCGAGACACAATGTCATAGGCCCATAAGAAGTTTCGGTGAGAAACATCATCTTCAAGGACTTCAAATGGCAGATGAGAGAAGGAGGTAAGCAAAAGTTGAGCTTTATACTACTGAAATGCAGTTGGAGGAACTGGAGGTTGATTGGAAGAAAAGTGCTAACCCTCGAAGACAGTAATTTTCAATTTCTTCATCCAATTAGGATTATGAGGAAGAGGGGGTGCAGAAGGGTCCATCCTAAAAGAATGAGGAAATTGGGGGTCATTCACACGCTCCAACTAGTCAGAAGAGCAATATTTTGCCTTCTTAACCAAGAATGAAGGACTGAATCCCAATGCTTCGGTTGGATTGGGGGTCTTCTGTACTATTCTTGTTGGCAAGGAGGAGGTATACCACGCCGAGAGCAGGTTGTCCTCTAGACAACGACGATGATCAATGGGTACGTAAGGATATACTACTGAGCTTCGGGAAGAAGAAGGCACTAGAAGAGGGTCATCGAATTCAATAATTCTGTGGTGAATTCGCTCCCTTATTTGAGGTTGAACTAGTGTTGACCAAGTATCCCACCCAGTATTTCCAGAAGAAGATGAAGCAGCTTCATTCTAGAAGGAGAGTTTTGGAACAAATGAAGAGCTTCCAAGATCCATTTGTGCAAATGCTTGATCCAAAGATTCGCATGGTGCAAAAGCTTCCATAACTTATATAAATTGAGGCGGATAAATGTGACCAATAAATGCATGAAGGTTCTTTTGAGGTCAGTTATCATTATCAAACACCTCCTCGTATGCTCGATCAACATAGGAAAGGGCTTGATTGGCCATTGAAGATGTATCAGTCCTTTCGGATGCTCAGATAGTAAAGCAAGTGTTCAAGCGTAAAGGAGAATTGAATGAAGTTCAATGCTTCATCTTTAAGAAGACGGTTACACTTCTAAGATAAACAAAGCCCATGCACGTCCTAGAACGTGGATAGAGTGCATTGATCAACGAATATCATTAAGTATTGGGTATATTAGTGCGGAGGTAATGTTGACTACATATTTTGTATAAGTCAATCCCAACTTAACATGTGGCACATAAAAGGTAATTTGGGGAGTTAATGCAAGCTTACAATCAGCAATAGACACGTGACAGTTCATATTGGTAATAATTGATTTGCGTAGTATTGAAGCAGCTAGAAGGCGCAAGATGATGTGGCCTAAAGGTGACTCACAAATTCAAATTCAGGATGGAAGCCTAACTGCAAGACTAGCATAGTGGAGGCTAACTGTAAGAGAACATGATCAGGGATCATGAGAGGACCTTTCGACAGTTGGAAGCCTACTTCGACGGTTGCCATTCGAAAGTACAAATAGGAGAGAAGGCCCCGGAATGAAGGACCTAGACTCAGATCCAGAAACCAGTTTATTTACTTCATATTTCTTTCCAATTCTTTACATTTTTCAGCACTTCAATTCCTGTACTGCACTTTATTTAATAGGAGTAGTTTCAAGTAATCGTTGTTGTGAACCTTTGTGAGGCTGGGTCATTGTAACTTCATTATAAGTTCTTATTTGCTTAATGAAATTCAATTTCTGAATTGTTCTATATTTGTTATTTCTTATCAATTTCTTCTAAAACAAGCCACCAGTGAAAGTCCTCTTCATTGAGGCTGAAAGAACTTCAACACAATCATCTGATAATTGATTGACAATTAAAATTCTGTAAGAACTAATTGATCATTACTGGCATGCTTAAATTTACGTTATTAAGCCTCGAAAGCTAAAAAAGCCAACACAAGGACACTGAATCTGTCAATGTATTTGTTATTACTTAAGGTTCGATTGCAATGCAACTTGAAATTGAGATGGAGGAGGTTGTTTTGGAGAGATGGATTGTGGAGTTTGAAATTCATGAGAGTGTTCCATTTAGGATTAGTGTTTCCTTCCATAACCACATGGGTTGCCAACACGGTGTCATGGCCCGTTGGAGGGCCACCGGTGATGGAGACAACGGTGTAGACTTTCATCCTGCCAAATCTCCCGATGTCTTCAAGTTCTGTTGCAGAAATGTTAGTTATGACCAAAGGTCTCAAGTGTTCCATTTTTGGGGGAGAATGAATGTAATACATGAATGGGGGAGAGAGAGAGGCTTGGTGTTGAATTTATTTAAGTTGAAGTGGCTTGGAAAATGCAGACTTGGTAAAAATTATGGGAAGACTCTTTTTGAAGAGATGAAGAACTATATATTATTACAACGATGACAGCGCAAACGAATATATAGGATTAGTCATATAAATATTAAAAAATTATTGAACATCAAAATCAAGTATGAGACAATGCAATGGATTTTTGCCTGGTGTGATAGGCACATCACAATAGAATAGTAATGGTATAGACTACATAGAAGGTTCGAAACCGTGTATTTCTCTTCTCCATTTTTTTCTTTGGAGGTGCTGATGAGGTATTTGTCAGTTTGTCTATCATTTCTGTACTATTGTTTTGAAAAGTATAAGTCATAGAAGTTTTCAAAAATTAACTATAACATCTTAAAAAAAGTTATTATTTTAATTTTTAGTATTTATAAAGTTTATCACTAATTAAATTTTTTTTTTTTTCAAACATCCACTGAAGTGAATATTTTTGTATAAACTTCATGAAGGTTTATTGGGTGAGTTAATTACAATTTGGAATGAACTTTATAAACATTAAAAATTATAATCATAATTTCTTTTTTTTATGCTTTTGTAATTAATTTTTAAAAATTTCTCTGACATATTTACTTCTCAAAACAATATTATAGAAATGATAGACTTGTTGGTAAATACCTCATCAGCATCCAAAAAAGAAAAAGAAAAAAGAAAACAAGAAGAGATATATGGATTCTAAACTTTTATCCCAACTCTATGTAATATATACCATTACTCTGCGTATTGGGTGAAAATCTATTGCATCCTTATATCATATTTTAATTTTTTTTATGTTCAATAATTTTTTAATATTTATATGACTAAGCCCATATATTCGTTTGCGACATAATTGAATTTGTCATGGTTATAATAATAGTTCTTCATCTCCTCAAAAAAGTCTTCCCATAATTTTAAGCAAGTCTTCATTTTCCAAGCAACTTACATAAATTCAACATCAAGCCTCTTTCTCTCAATATCTCTCCCATTCATTCATTCAATCAATCATTCTCTCCCAAAAATGGAACACTTGAGACCTTTTGTGATCACTAACCTTTCTGCAACAGAACTAGAAGACATCAGGCTCTTCGGCAGGATGAAAGTCTCCGCCACTGTCTCCATCTCCGGTGGCCCTCCAACGGGCTATAACACGAAGTTCACAACCCATGTCGATATGCAAGGAAACACCAATCCCAAATGGAACACTCTCATGGATTTCAAACTCCATGACCCATCTCTCCGAAACAACCTCCTCTATCTCAATTTTAACTTCCACTGCAGTCGAACCTTCGGTGACAAATACATCGGCGGAGTCAGTGTTCCCATCAATCCCCTCTTCGCCATGATATCGGGCAATAGGACCGCTTCTCAGGTGGTCCGGTATCCAGTTAGGACGTTTTCTGGGGAGGTGCATGGCTTTGTAAACTTCTGTTTCGGATTTGGGAACTCAATTCGTCCATTGGGACCGCAACAACCGGCTCCGCAGTGGCAGCCACCACCGCCACCACCACCACATGTAGTGTCCCAGGTTGAAGTTAACTGGGGGCAGAGTTATTATACAAGTGAGCCACAGACACTGCAAAACCAAGTCAATTATGGTGGTAATGCTCGGGCCAATGATGATCAGGCCAATCAGTATAATTATGGTGAACAAGCCAATGAGTTTGATGATGTGAGTGACTACCAATGCTGATTAGTTATGAGGATTATGGTTTTTCTTGTGGTATGGTGGGGCGGAGCTGGCTAACCATTCATAACAAGTATTTTTCATTGAGTTTGTTTTTGCTTTTAGATAGATTTATTGTCTGTAGTATGTAACTATTAATGTGACTTGTGTTATATATATCGAGCTTGTTTATATGGTTACCTTTTATCAAGTAAAAATATATATAAAATATAGTAAGAATGATATAATAGTGATAGTTTTGTAATTAAAAATCATGTGCATAGTTGTTTTGTTTTAAGTGATAGGCTCCTAATTGAAGAGGTTCCTCAAATATGTCTGATTTAGTCATCTTTGTAATTTGCCTCCGGGCTTTTCCTATCTTAAAAAAGAAAGAAGTGACAGGCTCTTCGCCAGTTTACAAATTTAGATTAGACCGTCAAATTAGCCCCATTTTTGGGTACAAATTTAATGATCTAAGTTGTTTATATTTTAAAGATCGTCAAATAAATTATTTCTATAAAAAATTAAATTGATCGAATAACAATAATTATATATTCTGATAAATTTTTTTTACAAAAAATGAACGATATTCATAATTTTAAGTATAACCATTCATTTTTTGAATACAAAATTAATTCAAACATATAGTTAACCATTATCCGATTAATTTGAAATAAAATTCTCTGCTAACTTTTCTTTAAATTTAACTAAACCTTCATTTTGTAAAAAAACTGAATGCTCCCTTCCTCAGTTACTCAAACAATTTATCAAACAAAATTTTAAAAAAATCTAGTCCAATAACTTCTTTTCATCAAATTTGGTTAAAAAAATTTTTTGCCTACATTTAATAAAAAATTAATTTTATACAAGTTTAATAAAATGATTGGACATGATTTTGACTAAAAAAAATTTCATTAAATTTAAATTTAATAAAAAAAAAAAGGATAAATTACAAATACATCCCTTGAGGTTTAATTAAAATACGAATCACTCCCTGTGGTTTTAAAAATTACATTCCACCTCCTGAGATTTTTAATTTCATAATAAATCACTCATTTTATTAATAAATCATCAACTCAATTAATAGTTTTTACTGATATTTGAAATATATTTTAATTAATAATCTAAGTAATTTTATTATTATATAGGAGAGCAATTATGAATTTTATTTTTTTAGTTAATTCTGTTAAATAAAAAAATTTAACAAAGAGATATTTGTAATTTTTTAAATATAAGAGATAATCTGTACTTTAAATAAATTTTCAAAAATACTACAAGCCCCAAAAATTTTACCAAATGTCTCACATAGATGTGGGACCCACATGAGATCCACATTGTGTGGGTCTCACACCCATGTGAGACATTTGGTAAAACTTTTAGTAGAATATTTGAGGTCTCTAATATTACTCATAAATTTTAAGAGATGTATTTATAATTTACCCAAAAATTAATGAATTGAATGCTGTATCCAAAAATATCTATTGTTTTAAATAAGGAGTCAATGAAACGGAATGTATACCTGGTCCATATCCATTGGACTTGACTTGTCACATAAAAGCGTTCGAAAAAGTGGATAACGAGATTGGGCCTTTTATTGAATTTTGGGAGGCTGGGCCTACATGAAAAACTGGAATGATCCTAGTCTAAAAGTGTTCGGACTTCCCAGCAAATTAGAGTCCGGATCGTCGGTCGCCTTTCTCTGGGCGCCCCAAAACGACGTCATTTTAAGGCTAAATTTCAATTAAAAATAAAAAAAAACACAAAGACAGAACTGTTGTTTACAGTTCATGCTTCTCCAGTGTGCATCTTCCCCAACAGCTCCGACGACCCCCCTAACCCTCCTTTCCCTCCGGCGATCCTTCCCCAGCCACATCACCCCTTCCTTGCTTTTCTTCTTCATCCTTTCTTTCTTCTTCTAGATCTAGGGGGAAAAAAAACACAAAGGGAGAGGAGAATCTGGTGGGTTTAATTGAGAGAGAAGTTAGAGAGAGAAAATGAAATATGCTATTGGAGTTTGTATTAACCCACTGCTAGAGCATTTAAAATATTCTTCATCTTCAAAGTCATCATCCAAATATTCCATTTCCAAGAGCCTATTATTGCCTCATCTTCCTCCACTTCGACTCTTTAAAGCAGAAACACAAAATTTGGTAGGAATTTAGGAAAGAACAAGACAGAAATTGAGGTGGGTCAATACATCTGAGAGAAAAGGGAGATAGGTTTGGTGGGTTTTGGATGGAAAATGAAGAAATTGAGAGATGGTGTGGTGATGGTTAGTACGGCTGAAGGAGGGTCGCCGTAGGGGGGTAGAAACTAGAGGAGGGTTGCTGGAGAGGAGAGAAGGGCTAGGGGCTCGCCGAAGCTGGTAGAGAGGTGCGCGGCAATGAAGGGGTGTAAAGATTTTTTTTTTTTTGGTTGCGATCCTCCTCTCTTCTTCTTCTTCCTTCTCCTTCTCCTTCTCCTCTCTTTCTCTGCCTTCCTTCTTCTCTTCTGTTTTGTCTTTGTTTTTTTTTTTTAATTGAAATTTGGCCCCAAAACGACGTCGTTTTGGGGCGCCACAGGAAGGGTGGCAGGGGAAGGCGACTGACAATTCGGATTCGGCGAACTAATGCCAACAAACTAATTTTTAAATTTTTTAGGAAAATATTTATAAAAAAATAAGAGAGTAATGCAATTATTTATAGTGATTTTTTTTGAATTTTTAACTAAAATATATAGTTGATAAACAACATTTAAATGAGCAGACATATTTTAGAGTGATTTAAGAAATTGGTTAAAAATTAATATTTTAACTTTTTTTATCCTTTTATATATAAAAAATACAACCATGCTGGACCCCCCCGTGGGGGTGACCCCTAGCTCCACTTAAAAAAGAAAAAAAATTCTAAACCAATCAAAAAATAATGGGGTGGTGGGGTCTCAAGTATTATTGTAAAAAAATATAAGATGCAACCCAAAAATAATTAAGAGTTAAAAGTTAATTTTAGCTGACTTTTCAAATTGTCCCTTGGTGTGGGGACACAGTGACGACACCGGTCAGCGTCCTAGAATCAACCAATAAAACGTTTATGAAGAAGTTAGTTTTTTGGGAGCTTTTTCCATAAATTCATCTTTAATTACTTATGTTCCATCCAATCCATATTCTTTTTGACTATTCCATTAGGTCCTATTTGAGATAAGAAGACCAAAATACCCTTTTCATCTACTTATGTTCTATTTAGTTCATATTATTTTCTTATGTTTCAATAAGTCCTATGGGTGACATAATTACCAAAATATCCCTAATGTGAATGTTCACACCGTCAATGTGAATGTTCATATCGTTAATGTATAGGGGTCCGACCCATGTACAATGTGAATATTCACATTGACATGTTAACATTCACATTGATAAGAGTGTAAAATTAGCCCGCGGCCTGTGGGTGGCCCGGGACGAGCCGGGTCCGGCCCGTGATAATGTGAATATTCACATTGACATATTAACATTCACATTGATAGGACTGTAAAATTGGCCCGCGGCCTGTGGGCGGCCCGAAGCCCACCAGTTACCAGGGCGGGCCCGGGCCGTTGATAATGTGAATATTCACATTGACATGTTAACATTCACATTGATAAGAGTGTAAAATTGACTCGCGTCCCATGGGCTGCCCGAAGCCCGTGGGTGGCCCGGGGGGAGTCCGGCCCGGCCTGTGACAATGTGAATATTCACATTGACATATTAATATTCACATTGATAGGAGTGTAAAATTGGCCCGCGGCCTGTGGGCGGCCCGAAGCCCACCCGTTGCCGGGGCGGGCCCGGCCGTTGATAATGTGAATATTCACAGTGACATGTTAACATTCACATTGATAAGAGTGTAAAATTGACTCGCATCCCATGGGCTGCCCGAAGCCCGTGGGTGGCCCAGGGCGAGCTCAGCCCGGCCCGTGACAATGTGAATATTCACATTGACATATTAACATTCACATTGATAGGAATGTAAAATTGGTCCGCAGCCCGTGGGCAGCCCGAAGCCCACCCGCTGCCCGGGGTAGGACTAGCCCGGCCTGTGACATTGTGAATATTCACATTGACATATTAACATTCACATTGATAGGAGTATAAAATTGGCCCGCGGCCCGAAGAAGATAGCCTCGGGTCGGGCCGGTGGTCCTAGGCTTAGGCTCGAGCTTAGGCCGGGCTTGGGCGGGCCTGGCCATTTTTTTTTTAATTTTTTTTTAATTTTTTCTACCAAAATTTTATTATTTTTCACAAAAAAAGACATTGTGCCTCAGGCGGGGCTGGGCCTCGGACCGAGCCTTTGAATGGGCCTTAAGCGGGTCGATGGGCGGGGCCGAGTTTCAAAGTGATGGCCTAGGCTCTAGCCTAGGGTCTCGGACATGCTCGGGCCCGGACCCAAACGAGCCTGCCCCGGGCCGTGGGCAGGCTTCGAGCAGCCCACGGGCGGCGGGCCAATTCTACATTCCTATCAATGTGCATGTTAACATGTCAATGTGAATATTCACATTGTCAACAGGTCGGGCCGGGCCTACCCCGGGTCGCGGGCGAGCTTCGGGCAACGGGCAAATTTTACACTCCTATCAATGTTAATGTTAACATGTCAATGTGAATATTCATAATGTCATGGGTCGGGCCAAGCCCGCCGCGGGCTGCGATCGGGCTTCGGGCCGCCCACGGGCTGCGGGCCAATTTTACATTCTTATTAATGTGAATGTTAACATGTCAATGTGAATATTCACATTGTCAATGGGCCGGGTCGGGACCGCCCCGGGCTGCGGGCGGGTTTTTGGCCGCCCATGGGCCGCGGACCAATTTTATACTTTTATCAATGTGAATGTTAACATGTCAATGTGAATATTCACATTGTTAACAGGCCGGGCCGGGCCCGCCTCGGGCCACCCACGGGTTATGGGCGGGCTTCGGGCAGCCACGGGGCACGGGCCAATTTTATACTCTTATCAATGTGAATGTTAACATGTCAATGTGAATATTCACATTGTCAACAGGCCGGGCCGACCCCGCCCCG